CCTCTGCAGAGCGGAGGGGATGAGAGCAGCTGCCCGGCCATGGTGGTGCCTGGGAGGTGGCGTGCAGAGCTGGGGCAGGGTAATGCTGCCTGAGGGCCTGCCTGCCTCTGCCCTGGCCTCTCCCAGCCAGACCCTCGCTGTATTTTTCCTTGTTTCTCCACTTCTCTTTGTTATTGATACCTTGTGCTTCCTGCAGGCTCTCTGGGGATAGCAGGTTCAGCCTCCATCTCTAGCTCCAAGAGTCAAAGACTGATCTTGTGTGTCCCCCCCATGCAAGTGTGTCCATGGGAATGGGCATCCCAGCTTTCCTCTAATCTGTGGGGCTGTGTGCAATGCAGCTTGTGGGGTTGGACAATATTTTTTTCCCTTAATCCAATGCAATCGTTAGGGAAATTGGCTATCACATTGAGGTAGCCTTCCAAAAGGTGAGTTGCCCTCTGTGATAAATACCTGTCACATAGAATCTTTGTGTTATCTGAAAGCTCCATGGACAAGTGCAGAGATTCGACTGAGAAAATTCTGTTGATTTGGTAAAAGGAGACATTTTTGTCCTTGGCTAGAAGTGGGGTGCTAAGACCTTGAGAAGGGGTGAGACATTTAGTGTCTGCTCTGGATACTTCTGCTCTCAACGATGTCTGACTGCTTTTCAGAGTAACACAGGAGTTTGATTGCCCTTCGTCTCTTCATGGACAGACCGGCTGCCCTCACCCTGCACTAAGCCACAGGCAATCCTTTTGCCCCGCAGGACTCGCTCTGTTCTCCCCGAGTGCAGCAGAAATGCTGAGGGTTTCTGCCACTGAAGTAAATACTGCAGGTGAGATGGGGGTAGCTTAAACCCCACCCCCCACCCCCCAAACTCTCCAAATACATTCTGCTATCCCCGTTCCTTGGCACTGGGGGTGAAGATGCTGACAAAACTTTCTGTATTAGGAGCAGTTTTTTCTGACAAATTCAAACACCAGGATTGGCCCCTACTCCCACCCTCCCCATGAGCTCACTGCTGCAGAGCAAGGCTGACTCCTCAGCTTGGCCAGCACAAGCCAGGGCGGCAGCAACATAGCTGAAGGAAGGTCTCCTGGAATAGGAATGGGGGAGGAAGGGGGTGTTAGGTGTAGCAGGGCAAATGTCTAGGAGAAAGGCTTGGAATTTCTTCAGAAAAGTCTCCCTTAACTCTTCACTGACTCTTCCTTTAAAAACAGGTCCCCATGCCCAGAGGCAGCAGATGTCCAACAGCAGCTACATCACCCAGTTCGTCCTTCTGGCCTTCGTGGACACACGGGAGCTGCAGCTCTTGCACTTCTGGCTCTTCCTGGGCATCTACCTGGCTGCCCTCCTGGGCAATGGACTCATCATCACCACCATAGCCTGCGACCCCCACCTCCACACCCCCATGTACTTCTTCCTCCTCAACCTCTCCCTCATTGACCTGGCCTCCATCTCCACCACTGTCCCCAAATCCATGGCCAATTCCCTCTGGGACACCAGGACCATCTCTTATGCAGGATGTGCTGCCCAGGTCTTCTTTGTATTCTTCTTCATAGCAGCAGAGTATTCTTTTCTCACTGTCATGGCCTATGACCGCTACGTTGCCATCTGTAATCCCTTGCATTATGGGACCCTCCTGGGCAGCAGAGCTTGTGTCCACATGGCAGCAGCTGCCTGGGGCAGGGGGGTTCTCTATTCTCTCCTGCACACGGCCAATACATTTTCCATACCCCTCTGCAAGGGCAATGCTGTGGACCAGTTCTTCTGTGAGATCCCCCAGATCCTCAAGCTCTCTTGCTCACTCTTCTACCTCAGGGAGGGTGGGCTTATTGTGGCAAGTGTCTTTGTTGGGGTTGGATGTTTTATTTTCATTGTGCTGTCCTATGTGCAGATCTTCAGGGCCGTGCTGAGGATCCCCTCTGAGCAGGGACGGCACAAAGCCTTTTCCACGTGCCTCCCTCACATGGCTGTGGTCTCCCTGTTTCTCAGCACTGTAGTGTTTGCCCACCTCAAGCCCCCTTCCATCTCATCCCCATCCCTGGATCTTGTAGTAGCAGTTCTGTACTCAGTGGTGCCTCCAGTAGTGAACCCCCTCATCTACAGCATGAGGAACCAGGAGCTCAAGGAGGCCCTATCGAAACTGATCCAATGGGTGCTGTTTCACAGACAAAAGTCTCTGTCACTTCCTCTGCGCTTTAGACTCTCCCAGATTTTGACTTAGGCCAAGAGTCTGCTTTTTTATCTGGTGATAATTCTGCTATCTTGAGATAATTTTCTGGGTTTATACTCCTTCTGTTGAAGTTTGCTGCTGTTCTGTCTTTGCACAACACTGTGTCTCGTGTCCTCTCAGAGAGCAGCTCTTCACATGTAACAGGAACTCTTGGGTGCAATGCATGAAGGCTGGTCTCCTCCACCAAAGGCGCTTCCAAGAAAATATCCAAGGAATTGGCCTTTTCACGATTCTGTTCTCCTTTCTAACTCGGTGTGTTTGGAGTTAAGTGCATGGTAACTTTGGATTCCATTGGACTCAATGTTCTTGATTTAAAGGCTCATTTTATGGTGTCTAGTGGCAGGGGAGGTGGTCCATGACCGCCACATTATTTTCAGTTTGCTTCATGTATGACTGGAAAGATGGCACATCCCAGACTCTTTGGAAATAAATTTAGAGGGGCTAGGAGAAGATGGGGACTCACCACATGCCCTGTGGTTGGAATGAATGGAGACTCAGAAGGTGAAACAACCTCAAAGGGGAAGTGCCCCAAAACGAAAGCACTAAATTGATGTACCCACAAAGGATGACTCTGAAATACCATGGGAGCCAGTGGGGAGTCAGCAGGCAGAGGGAGGGGAGAGTGGAGAGATGCAGGGGCTGCCTGAGGACCCCCAGCACCAGGAATTTTGTGCTGTCATGGGGAGTGAGGCTAGCAGGACAGCAGGAGGCAGCAGATTCTTTTGGGGTTTGTAGATTACCTACAATCTGAATTCAAATGTGTGAAAGTCCCACGGAATGAAACAGAGTGCCATGAAGCCAGCCTACAGTGGGCTGCTGGGCTGGGCTGGAGAGAGGGCAGGGGAGGTAGGGAGAGCTGGGGAGGGGCTGGGCTGGGCTGGGAGGAGTGTGGGGAGAGAAAAACACCACTGTAGAGCTCATCTGTGTGAGTGTGCAGGGTAGGGGCAGCCAGCACTCACGGTGCAGAGCCAGGTGTCATGCTGAAGGAAGCAAGGCCACATAAGTACAGAAGAGAGGGTCCTGGTCTGTGACATGTTCCCTGGACACCCTGGGGAAGCTGCCCCAGGAAATTTGTCCCAGACCAGTCCCCCATACCATTTCTAACTCTGGCCAAACACCCTGGCCCTGGAGGAGGGACCTTTGCTGCATGGTCACTCCTGTCCTCCTCTGGGGCTCACTGATACCAACTCCACTGCTGTCATTAAGAAAAAGGGAACCAGTTTCCTCCTGACCCTCATTACACACCAAAGCCCATAGTTCTTTCCACAGCTGGTCTCAGCCAAGCTTGGTTTCAGACAGCTCCAACTCAATCAGGTGCTTGTGGCCTTGCCATGACAATTATTGAAAATCTCATGAGCCTGGAGAATGCATGAACCTCCAGGAGCATTGTCCCATTACTGCAGAGGAGGTGGGAAGGGTTTGTGAGGCAAATGGCTCTGTAGGGAGAGAGTGGTGTGTGTGTAGAAGAAAGCATCTTACAGGCCAGAAGAAGAATGGAAAGAGCAAAGGGAAGTCATGCTAATGTGGAACAGTTCAAGGTTCGATTTTAGGGCAGCAGAATAAGGAGGATGTGCAGTGCAGGGCTGGGATATGGATCCAAATTGAGGATGCAATCACGCCATGGGTGTGACAGGGGAGATCAGTGTTTCTGCTCTTGAGTGTAGTACAGGGGCTGGAAGTGTCCATGTTGGCACCATGGGAAAGCCTAGTTTGTGGATGAAAACTGCTCCATGCATTGCAGCTGGTGGAAAGTGTGTTCCTATGTCCTTTCAATGTTGATAACTGGTCCTCGTCTTTCCAGGCAGGGATCAGTGCCCAGGCACGGCCCTGTCATGCAGGGCTTGTGCAGCTGGGCCCAGAGGGTGCTCTGCAATCCAAATGTCAGCACCAAAGGAGCCCCACCCTGAGCCTTGCACAAGCCCATGGAACTCAAGGACAAATGTGCCTCAGGGAGCTCTTCCTCTCAACAAAACGGGCTGTCTCCACTGCTAGTTTGGGGTCCATGAATGTTGAATGGACAGACACGGTCATTTCTGGGAGGGGGAATGGAAAGTCCTGCTGAGAAACCTGGCTGCTGCGTGGTGCCGGCCCAGAGAATCAGCTGCTGGGGAATTAGGCATTGCTCAAGAAGCTGTCCCAACTGCATACCTTACCCCCCAGAGCATGGGGGAAGCTTGCACCCAGACCCAACCTTCCCTTTGGCTCTTTCCAGCCAGCTCTTGATTCAGAACATTGCCTTTCCTCATTGCTCTCCAAGAATCTTTCATTTGCTTTATTGACAGCACCAGCCAGCTCTCCAGGAGCCTCATGGAGGTGGTCTTCCTCATTTTCCTGTGTCAGGTGGATCTAAGGCATCCATGACAGCATTTAGGTGCCTCAGTCCCTTTAGATTAATTTGAGGGTTTATGCGCCTTCATTAATGACCTTCATGGCTAAAATTCACCTCTTCTCCACAGATGTTTGTAGGACAGCAATTTAGGTTTCATGATGCTTTTCTAGACTCTCTATTCCTTAAAAAGGGAAGCACACAGTAGCTGAATGCTTTCAAAAAATCATGCGTGGTACCAAAATTAACCTGAATTAAACCTCTCATAGCGGGACAAAATTCAGCTGTGTGTGGACTGCAAAAGCAGTGATGAATTCTTTCCTTTCTCCCTTTCTCCCTTTCTCCACACCACTTGCTCAGGTCTTGGGAGGAGAAGAAATTAATAAAGGTGACGTTCCTGGGTGCCAATGCTTGGCCTCTCCCATGAGTGTCTGATGTAGAGACCCTCAGCTGCAGCTGAATCTCTTCTCCTTGGGAACACTGCAAGGCAGTGGCTGAGATGTTATGGGGTGGGTGCAGATGCCCAATACTCAAACAAGAGAAGAGTGTGAGCAATTGCAGGACACTGCAGGTAGCGTCATGGGTTACCTGTCTCATGGATTTGCTTCCCAGGGTAGAAAGTACCACAGCAGCCATCTCAGAAATGCCAAAGGAGGATATAAAAGAAGCAAAGCATGGCCAATGTAAAAAGGATTAACAAGTGTGGTTGATTGACCCCAGCAGGTAACTAATCAGCCATCCAGGCATGTGCTCACTCCCCCACCAGCAGCATGGGGAAGAGAATTGGAAAGGTAAAAGTGAGAAAAAGTCATGGGCTGAAATTTAGAAACGTCAATAAGTGAAGCAAAGATAGATTTGCAAGTAAAGCAAAAAAGGAATTTGTTCAATGAACCCTACTGGCAGGCAAAAGTCCAGCCATTTCCAGGAAAGCTTCCAGGCCTTCATCACGCACAATGGTGACTTGGGAAGACAAATGTCATAACCACAAATGTCCCCTATGATATGGAATATCCCTTTGGTCATTTGAGGTCAGCTGTCCTGGCTGTGTCCCCTCCCAACTTCTTGCCCACCCCCAGCCTACTCGTTGGAAGGGCAGTGTGAGAAACAGAGGCGGCCTTCTTATTGCTTCATGTTCAGCAATAGATAAATAGTTTTGGTCACAAATCCAAAACATGGAACCGTGTGGGCTGCTAAGAAGACAGTTAACTCCATCCCAGCCAGCCAGGGTAGGCTGGAGGTTTTGGAAGGTTTGAGAATGATAACAGTGGAGAATTTGAGATGGGGAAAAAAGGGAATTGGTTAACTCAAGATGAGGCCAGGGATGCCATGGAGTCTGTTTGGGTGCCTGTGAGTCAGTCCTGTATGGGATGTGAATTTTTTCCACAGTCAGAGGGAACCTGTATGCTTTCCCTGATGCTGAGGACATGAAGGGGAAGGAATGAAAGTGTCGTTCAGGTTGGAAGGGACATTCCTACATCTCTGTAGAGCATCCTAGTGAAAGCAAAGTCACACCAGGTTCCTCATGGTTTGATCCAGATGGCTCTGAAAAACTTCCGGGGGTGGAGGCAGCACAAACTCTCTGAGAAACAGCTTCCCGTACCTGACGCTCCTCATGTAGCAAATGTTTCTCCCTATATTGAGCCTGACCCTCTTGTGTTTCAGTCCATTGCCTCCTGTGCTCCTGCCTTGCACCATCGTGTCTTCTTGGAAATGTCACATAGATAGTAGGAGTCTGTTACATCCTCCCCAAAAAATCCCAGCTCCCTCAGCCCCTCCTAACAAAGCAAGTGCTCTGGCCCTGACCAGACCTCCACTGAATTTTTCTTGCCTTCCTGCTTGCCAGTGTCTCTCTGGCATTGTGGGGCACCAAAACCTGGGCAAGGATTCTGGATGTGGTGTAACAAGTGTTGAACAGAGGGAGTGAATCACTTCCCATGGCTGTGCTCCTGCTCAGACAGCCCAGGAGGTTCTTGGCCATCTTTGCTGATGGCTCGTGTTTTGCCTAAGGTAACCCAAAGACCAGCAGACCCTTTCCTGTAGACTATCTAACTGATAACTGTCTAAGCAGTCCCTTCCCTATACCATTTCAGAGCCTACATCCACTTTAGGAGTAAGATTTGGGTTGAATCTTCAGTGGGTGTCATGAGGTTCTTATTGACCCATCCCTCCAGCCTAAGTCCTTTGGGATGGCAACCCAGCCCTCCAGCCCTGCCCTGCTCTCCTGAATGGGATGTCTTCTACAAACGTTATGGAAAAGTACTCTTTCATCTCCTCCAGCTCATTAAAAAGATGTTAAACAAGGTGGGTTGCAGGACAGACCCCTGCAGGACCCAACTAGCTAGATGCCTCCAGAAAAAGCACAACTCGTGTACAACACTCCTCCAAGCCCAGCTCTCCAGCTGGTTTATTACTCAACTACTTACCCGCCCATGCAGCCCATACTGTCCTAACTAGGAGACAGGAAATATATGGAGCGATGTTGCTGACAGCCTTGACTGCCAGGTAGAAGAACATGACCTCTCTCCCCACATCCAGCATTCGTGTCCTTTCATTACAGCAAAGCCAAGATGGCCAGGAAGAATGTACCCAGGAGAAACCCAGAAATGGGATCCGAGTGGACACACTCTGGGGCACAGCCTTTCATTCCCATCTCACCCTTTGGGCATTTTTGAAAGATGTGTGCAATGTGTGGCTCCTGCCAGTAATCATGGAGTCCCCACAGTTTCCATGACCTTTCAAAGGCGATGGAGAGTGGCCTCACTGTGACATTGGCCTGCTCACTCAGCTCCCTGGGATACAACTCCACCAGTCCCATAGACGGGTAAAAGATTGTTTGCTCAAGTGACCCCTGACTTGATCCCCATCCACCACTGGTTGATCTCCTCCAGAGTCCTGCCCTGAGTCACAGAGGCCTGGGAGGCCTTGCTGGGAGACACTGAGGCAAAGAGGACACAGAGAAGCTCAGATCTATCTACAACGACTCTTACTGAATTCAGCAGTGCCCACACAGTAGCTTTGTTTCTCCTGTAACCGCTCCTGAAGTAGCACACGCTCATTGTGGTGCCCTTCAGTTGCCTTTCAAGGTCAGACGGAGTTTCGATCTGGACCCTTGCTGAGCTTGGAGGCTGCTGTCCTTGAAGAGCAGCTGTGCTGAGCTCTGCAACCATGTCACAGCTCTGTCTCCTCAGGAAGGGCTCCAGCTCTTCCCGCCTGTGCCCCTGGCTGAGGGCATTGCTGCACATTTGGGCTGAAGCCCTGCAGCTGTGGAACCAAGCCAGCTCTGACTTGCCATCAGGAACCTGGTACCAAGCATCCAAAACTCCGTGTCTGCAAAGGCTTTGCTCCAGAGCAGAGACATGGCATGGACGCAAGAGAGCTGGATGTCTTTCTAGACCTAAAACTGCAAACGCACAATGAAATTCCTACATTCACTCAACAGAACCCATGCTCCCTGCTTTGTGAAATTAGATCATTCCCTGTCACCTTCCTGGTGTCCTGTCTAAAGACTGCAAAGAAAAGAGGTGTTCATGTCCAACTGTTTTACTAACAATAACAATGACACTGCAGGAAAGAAGTGCCTCTCCCCAGCTGAGGGAGGGAACATCAGGGATGACCTCAGCCTGTGTCACAGCAGGTTCCCCTGGAGCCCCAGGGACACCTGGAGGGAGCCCAGAGGGGCAGAGCAAGGGCTGCCTTGGGCTGGTCCTCTGCTGCTGAGCTGGGCTGGGCTCCTGGGATGGAGGGAGCTGATGGCAAGTGGGCAGCACTGCCGAGAGACAGCTCTGCCCAGGAGCAGCTCTTCTGCCAAGCGCAGCAGGGCTGAGGGCACTGCCTGCAGGCACCGAGGGGAGAGGAGCGAGGCAGAGAGGGTGCAAATGCAGTCTGGAGTGGGAGGATGCTGAGCACTCACTGCAGCAGAGATCATCACAGCCCTCTACATGGTAAGCCTCTGGGTGAAGGACAGTGTGGCTGGTGTTCCTGGAGGGATATCCAAAGGCTGGTACATCCCTCAGCAGATAGGATCTTTCAGGAGAACTCTCACAGTTTCTCTAGTATAGAGGAGGAGGACGGGCTGCAGAGCAGGGCTTCCCTGCTGCACCCTCAGAGGGACAGGGCATGACGGCTGCCTTCTCCCAGGGATGGCTGCAGGGTGTGAAGGTGGGTGTGCAGCCAGGGATGCCCAGAGCTCTCCTTCAGAGGAAGGTCCTGGTGCATCAGGTAGGGTCATCACTCAGCCTTCCAGGGTAGCACACCACATGCTGTGGGGAGAAGCTGTGGGTTGAAGTATTAACCCCTGTCTTGGTAGGATCCTTTGTTTGTCAAGAGGGTGCAGCATGATTCAGGGCTGCTCAGACTTCTACATCACCCAGAGGACATTTGCAGAGGGTCACTTTGAAGATGGATGTCAAGGGAGAGGGTCACCTAAACTGGTAGAAAACAGTGCTTTGGGTTTTCTCCTTTTGCTTGGCTGGGTGGTCAGTGGGAGATGGGAATTTACTGCTCTGTTATGGAGTAGGCAATGAGACCCCAGATCTCGTTAGCACTTGTCTGAGGTGCTCCTTCCCCCATGCACACACGGAGATGTCCCTGGGCAGTGCCCTGCTGCCAGGAGGGGTCTGCAGGGCAGAGCTGAGCACACAGCAGGAGGGGTGGGGACTGTGAGTGTGCAGAGGGAGGAGAGGTGGGGACAGAGAAACAGGTCATAGAATCATAGAATCATAGAATCATAGAATGTTTTGGGTTGGAAGGGACCCCTAGAGGTCACCTAGTCCAACCCCCCTGCAGGAACAGGGACACCGCTAACTAGATCAGGTTGCTCAGAGCCCCGTCCAACCTGGTCTTGAATGCTTCCAGGGA